TATCGAAGTAAGTGCTCAAAAAGGTATGTTACCTGCACAGTACTGCTGTTGCAGGTTATGAGTGCAGTATTCGAACCAATAAAAAGCAGTGTGCGAGCATTTGGAAACGCAGTAACAGCAGTGCCGGATACTGTTTACGATGGAGTGACTCGTGTTGGTGACGGCCTTAACAAAGCGGCCAAACAGATTATCAGTTTTCAGCCGCAGCATGTATGTAAAACTTCTGTAAAATTGGTTTTTATGCGTTTTTTGCATCTGTGCAATGCAAAAATGCATATTGTCGAAGAGTTGTCTGTGTATTTCTGCATATGCGTTTGTACCGATTTTTCATCTCAAAATCTAAAAAAGCTACAAGGCTGGAACTTTGGTAACTTAATCTACACAAATGTACGAGCCCCAATTCCCAAAATAGACGCTCATGCCCAGGTGGCTCCCACGTGCGGGTCCGTGCTAATTTTTTGCGGGTAAGTTGCTAACTTGGAAACCAAAAATGTTAGAAAGCTGAAACTTTGAGGGATGTTTTCTGATAGTTGTGTTCTTTTACCTAGAAGCATCTGACGAAAAAAAAAGTGTTGTTGGCGATAAAAACCTGCGGGTAACTGTGTAAAAAAAGCGGCAATCGTTGCACAGGCAATTTTTTTTTTTTGAAACTCAGTATGGAGTTATTGATGTTTTTCTTGCCCACTTCGGGTGCAGAAATTACTCAGGGGCTCAAGCTTTGTGTTCGAAAAAACTGTGAATTTGTCATTCTCCTTTTTGAACCACATGAATATCAGTGGCTCTATAGATCCAGCAGCTGAGATCAAGTTTAAGAAATTATTAATTTCTGTTAGATTTTACAGGGTGCGAGTGAGATGCAGCGAGGAGAGGATGATTCGAGTCGTGTAGCGGCTATTTATAGTGACCAGGTATCCTAATTTCCCTTTTTTTCGTCATACAGAAAATTTGTTCAAATACATGAGGAAATATAAAAATTATACACTCCGTTTTAAAATGTTCAATTCTACGCCGCATGTTCCAGTTTGTTTAGAACTTTCCACCATTTTCCTAGCCTTAGCATTTCTGGAATCGCTCGGTTTTTTTCAGAGCAATTTTGCATTTTTGTGGCGATCTACTGAGAGCAGGCTTTGCTGCTTTATTTTAAAATTTTTTGCGTTTGAACTGGTCTTCGAGCCCCTTAACTCAGTTTTTCAAGTACTTTCTTAATAAAAAATTTTGTCGCTTAAGTAAAGCAGGAGTGAAGCATTTTTCTTCCGCACTGTGATGTACCCGCTGATTATATGCTTTTTCAAACATTAAACTGATATTTTAGCAGTGGATGGAAAGCATTCCACTTCGTGTTCTTGTTCTTTTGATTGGGGAAGTTTTTGGAGTGCGAGCCCGAAATGCATGGTTCCGTCGCCGATTAGTGGCGCTTTTACATCAGTTTGTTCATGCGACTATGGGTACCTCGTTGAATCGCAAAATTATCGATATAGTGCAGTGGCTGACATCAAAGCAGCAAGTGGCTCAGTACCTTATTGCATTCAGGTTTTAATTATTAGTCTTAATTTTAAGTTTTAGAACGGACACTTGGGGCGTTAGAAGATCATTTTTTGACAGCTCGGGATTTGGTCAAATAAATATCGGCACGCTTCAGGGCAACCGGTGTGATTACGCGTTTTGTATAGTTCTTCGGCGGACGGTTGTTGCTAAGAATATGCACTGCCTTACAGTTTGGTATGCGCAAAAAATACGAAATCCCAAGTACCCTTCATGAGAGCTAGATTTTTTTAGGTACAGAAGACATTCTCCAACAGTTTTAACTTCCTGTTTTATCTGGTTCCCTGTCCAAAAATTTCTTCAAGTCACTTCTCCGTACTTATGACGTATGCATGCATGAAAGCTGATTTCATTTTCCAGGATTGTTCACGCACTGGAAACACCATAGCAGATTTTCTACCTTGTCGGTTCCCAAATTTAAAATTTCGTGCCAAAACTTCCACGTGGCTTCTACATCAAGTTTAAATGCAACGGTAGAGGGATTGGATTTAAATTTTTGAAATCGGACATGGGCTTGCAATATTACTTCAAAATTTCCATTTCCTAGCTTATGTGATCCCTGGGTTTTTTGGCGCTAAACCCTCGGCGTGACCGAACGTGAGACCTAGGCGTATGCGAAGACTGAAATTAAATTTGTAGGTCATACGTGGGTAAGTTTCCCCGAAGTTTTAGCTTCCTAGCTTTAGTGGTTCTTGAGTTATTAATTGGTGGCATTAAGCACTTCACGGAATTATACATGAGATCTAGGCGTACGCGGGGGCTGAATTTAAGTCTGAGTGATCACACACAGCTAGAAGACGCCTTCTCCAAATTTCATCTTCCTAGCTTCTCTTGTTACCGAGTTATTTTTGGTGCCGAAACTTCAGTATGACCGTACGTAACACCTAGGCTTAAGCAAGAAGTGAAATTAAATTTGCGGGATCACACGTGAGTGAGAAACTTTCCCCGAAAACTTCAGTTCCTTGATTTTCATGGCTCTCGAATTAGTCTTAGTTCCAGAAATATCACATGGCGGTGCGTGAGGATGGAATCAACGCGGGGCCTGAATTTTAAATTTATGGAATCATACGAGGGCCAAATTTCAGCTTCCTGGCTCCTCTGACTCCCGATTTACTGGTTTTGGCGCTATGTGGTCGTGCGTGAGTTCCAGGAGCAAGCGGGGACTGAATTTAAGTCCAGAAAACATCTCGTTCAAATTTCGGCTTCCTGTTTTGTCTGGTTCCCGAGCTGTTGATTTTGGTGTCAAAATTTTAACGCGACCGTGCGTGAGACTAGGAGCACATGAACGCTGACGCTAAATTTTGTGGAGTCGCGTGTGGGCAGGAAGCACCCTCCTAAAATTTTAGCTTCCTAGTTTTTGTGGTCCCCGAGTTGAAAAATGTGGAAAAAGTGCACTCAGACACTTGACAATATGTTTTTCACAGCCATTGCATGGAACAAACTGCATAAAAACGGGTGGGCGGATTGATGCAGTGGAATTCCAGAACAAGAAGTAGCGAAAGTAGAGGGCGAACATTGCTGGCAAAAAATAGCATCTAGTCGTTAAGTATTTAAAAAATTCCTGTTTATTTTGCAGAAATGCGCTTTGGCCAGACGGTCAACTGGCGGAGAACAGCGAGTGTCGTTCAGAGAGCGAGCAAATGAGAACGCGAGTTTTGGCCAGAGCTTTGATGTTGAGCGCGCTGCCTGACGAGCTACGGCTATTTATAGGCACCGAAACGACGAATGTTGGAATCGGAAATATATCGGAGGCATTTCAAAACAGTAGGCTCAACCGAAGATTGCTGTACGTGATTTTTGAAAGACTTCTTGTGACTATCTTCCCGGACAATCATTTCGAAAAAATACTTCCCCAACTTCACGCCAAGAGCCCACGTGCAAGGCCGTTTCAGAACTAAATAGCTTTCTGGGGCTCGGGATGCCTTTTCCCTTTATTTTTGAAAAGGACTCGCATAGTCCTGGAGAGAAATCTGACAGGGACCGAAGTTCGTTTAAATGTGATGTCTGTTTTCGCTCCTTGCTGTTTAATCAGATTTAGAAATTCGCTGTAAATATATCGGGATGAAAGATCAAGAGGTCGCCTGATTTACAGTGAGTTTCAGCAGTGCGGCCAACTGTAGTATTTAAATTTGTAGCCTTGAACACCGTTTTTTGTCTTATTGATCTCATTGTTATGGGTATGTAAGAATAGTTTTGAAAATTTGCTTTAAATTCACTCTTTACTGTTTATTAGGCGACATTAAGAATTGGCTGTGTTCTTACCCACACTTCCGTCTTTTTCATTAATTTGCGGGTACGTAATAATTTTGAACAGCAAGCTCATGCTAAGGGTACCCCTCGTTACAGAAAGATGCTAATGGTTTCTGGATACTAAAAAACTATTCATATTGGTAGGACAGTCATTTAGATAGTAATCACTGGCGAAGCGCACCGGGCGGGCCTGTGCAGTCATGTGTTTCTGTAGTATTTCCTGATGCTGTAAGGTCGCTTCGAGTTCCAGTAGCTAGAATTTACAGCACACTGGCCCTCGAATTTCAGGAAATTTATTGTGCAATTACATGATCCTTGGTCAGGGAATATCTCCTCAGGATTTCAGCTGTCTGTCTTTTCTAGCACTCTAATTAGCGATTTCCCCGCCAAAACCTTTCACGGGCCGTGCGTGAAAACCACGCATACTTGGGGGTGAATTTGAAAACTTCGAGTTCTATGTGGATGGGGAACACAGCTTCATGATTTCAGTTTTCTAGCTTTCCTGGCTCTTGATTTAGCGATTCTCCCGTTAAAACTTTCTTACGCGGAGCCTAGGCTTGCGTGAGTTTTGATGCTACGGTCAACTTGGCCGGGGAACCCACTAGCAAAATTTTGGCCCCAAGGCTTAATTGGCTTTCGAGTTCAAAGACCCGAATAGACGCGCGCGCGTGCACACACACTCCGAGTCGTCAAAATATGCGTTTTTGCATCATCATATGTGCAAAAAAGCCTAAAAACTGAACCGACAGTCGAGGATTTTATGCTGTTGGTGTTTCCTCATTCCCACTGCAGCTATACAGGTTCCTTTTGCACACTTGCAATTAATAATTTTCGCTTGTTC